CTTATGCCTCTTTTCCTCGTCTGCTCCTTCTGTCCCCGAGCAGCGCTCGGCAGGACGGATCCGGGAGGCGGACTAGTCGCCTGGCATCGGTTCAGTCCCCGCGGCATCTTCGCCGGGTGGCCCTGGGCGAGACTCTCTGCCTGTCCTCGTCTGTCAAGTAGGAGCGGTCCCCGTTCGGCCCTCGGAGGAGTTTGTGAGAATAAACTAAAGTGAGTCTCTGTGAAGCATTAGAACGCGGCTTTATACGGAGTAAGCGCTGAACAAGTGTTTATCGAATTCGTAAGTCGTCTTCTCTTACCTTTATGGTAAACTTCCTGCATTCAAGGCCATCTCAGCGTCTTTTTCCACGTTCACGTTGCTTTTAACATTCCTCTCACATTTTAAATACATTCTGGCATTGATTATTTTGCTTCTGCTTTAGTTAATTCCGTTCATGACTTCCCTCTACTGTTTTTTGTTTTTTTATTCCTCCCCTCTTCCTTCTCTGTATTTCATACATGAAGCGACTTTCTTAAGAGGTCCAATTCCCAGGAGGCGGTTAAGCATCTGACTCTGGATCTCCGCTCTTGGTCTCGCTGTGTGGGTTGGGGCTCCGCGCTGCGCTGGGCGTGGAGACTGCTTAAAATAAAAACAAAAGACAAAATATCCGAGTCTCAATCCCCTTTGCTGGGTAACCTCTTGTCTTCTGTTATAACTTCTCTTGCTTTTTTTTTTTTTCCTGCCTTATATTTTATTCATCGTTATTACAGTCCCTTTCTTTCGCATTTAAGATGCTTTGCATACGTTCCAGACGTTCTACATATTTTCTTTATGCTTTTTGCAACCACTTATGTACCAAGCTCTTCTCCTTTTTCCTGGGACTCACTCTCTATCGTTCTGCAAGTGGCTTTTGATTTTCTCTGATTTCACCAGTGGATGTGTGTAGCTTTTATTCCTGTTTCTCCCGGGAGCCTTTCAAAATTTCTTTACAAAAAGCTCTTCAAAGTCTAGCATTCTCCTTTCATCTCATGTTGTAGCCCCGTGGAGCATCAGTACTCTCGTTACCATAGCAACTGTCTCTTGTCTTCCACTTTGCTGCCGCTGGTTTACACATTTCATTTTTATTTTCTCTTTCTTCATTCTTAGTCCTCTTTCCACGGATCCCCTTAATTTCCTCTTTCCCTTCTTTATTTTTGCTCATCCTCTTATTAAATGTGTTCTCTTGGGTTTTTTTTTTGTTTGTTTTCCATTATTTTTAAATCCTTGTATGTCAATCAAGATTTCCAGTATTGTTTTAATAATGCCTTTAATTATTCTTTTAGCTTTTAATATCTGTACGTATATAGTTGTCTAGAAACCCAGCCATTCTTTTTTTTTATCCATTATCTTTGCGCCTTGCCTGTTTGCTTAATCTTTTCTTTGTTTCTGGGGCTTCTCTTTAATGTTTTAGGTCTTCTTGATGCAAACCTCATGCTGGTTTACACACCTCTACTTTCGCATTGTTGTGATCACTGTATTTTCTTCTTCCTCAGCTTGTCTTTGTAGGATTGGTCAGGGTTCACCAGAGAAACGGAACAAAGGGCATCTGGAGAGGGTGAGACGGAGAGAGAAATTTTAGGGAACTGGCTCACCCCGCGGTGGGGACTGACAAGTCCCAGTTCTGCAGGAACCGCAGGGAAGAGTTGTCACAGTTCCAGCCCAAGGGCAGTCTGGGGCAGAATTTTGTTACTGATTGGATGACACCCACCACATTCTGTAGGGAGGGTATCCCGATTTGCCCCAAATCTACTGATTTAAATATTAGTCTCATCTAAAAAATACCTTCAAGTAATATCCAGACTGGTGCTTGACCAAATTAATACCTGGACACAGGTCGCTTAGACAAGTCAACACCTCAAATTAACCGCCCTCCCCCCTTCCAAGCTCTCTCCCTGTGAACGTTCCTCTTCAGTCTCCTTCTTCTCGGGGCTCAGGACCCGTCCTCTGCTTGTCCCCTCTGCCCTCGCTTTCCCCAGAGCAGCTTTGCATAGTGTGCCTTTCTAAACGCTTTCAACAGATGCCACCCAGAATGGCACCCCAACCGGAGGGGGGGGGCGCTTGCAAAACCAAGGTGGCTGAGCCATTCCCTCCCAGAGCCACCAAGCAGGTCGCGACACAAAATGACAAACT